TTTCCACTTTTTGTATTATATTCATATTTTTTCCAGCTTTTCACTGTAGAGTAAGATTATATAATTCTTTGCTAATATTTATTTCTAGGTATTTTATTTTTTGTGTAACTATTGTAAATGTTATTACTTTCTTCAATTCTGCCTCAGTTTGTGCATTGCTGGTGTATAAACACTCTAGAGATTTTTTTTTTTTTTTACTACTTCCCATATCATTAATCTTCACATTATCCTTGAAGGCAGATATTCTGATCACATTTGTGCAAGTAATGACTTAAGAAGTGTAAAGATCACGTAGAGCACCTCAGATCACACAGTTATAGAAATAGGGAACCAGAAAGAATCCAAGATGCTTAACTTAAAAATATCCCTATCAGGACCAGCAGGTGTGTAGTGTTGAGGCACTGGACTCCCATATGGTCCACCTTGGTTTGACTCTTGGACCTGGCAACTTGAAACTCACACTGGGTGCATGTGTATGCTTGCCCAAAACTTTACAGATTTTTGTATATTGATTTGGTATCCTTACTAAATTCACTTATCAGCTCTAGAAATGTTTTTGTGATTTTCCGTATTTTATCACATGGTCTGCAACTAGGGACAATTTCACTTATTGTTTTTCCTATTTGAATACCTTTCATTTTTCTCTTGACCGATTGTGTTAGCTAAGACTTTCAATACTATGTTGAAAGGAAGGAGAAAGTGACAATCTTAACTTATTCCTGTTTTTAGTGGGAAAAGCTTTCAACTTTCTTTGTTTAATCTGATGTTAACTGTGAGTTTGCAATAGTGTTGAGAAATGTACTGTCTATTCCTATCTTAATCATGAAATGTTGTGTTTTATCAAATGTTTTTTTCTGCATCGATATACATAGTGTTTTTTAGCTATAGTTTTGTCATAGGTCACTTTCAGGGCGGGGGTGGAGTGAGAAATCACCCTAGAGGGATGGCCAGGTTGCATTCTCTTTTGTTCCATTCTCACCTTTGGATTTTGGACACATTTGCACATGTACCTGGTGTCGTATTCAAGTTGCTGGGTCCAGGACTCAAACCACAGAGTTGGCCATGTAAGATCCAGCCACTCCAACCTCCATACCACTTGTTGGTCCAAACTGTATGGTTTTTAATTATTTCTTCTGTTAATGCTATGTATTACATTTTTTTTTGTTGTGCATTTGTCAAACCATCTTAGTGTATATAGTCATGGTGTATAATATTTTAAATGTATTGTTGGATTGTTTAATGTGTTGTAATATTTTGTTGGGAATTTTTGCATCTTGTATTCATCAGCCATCTTGGTTTGCAGTTTCTTTTTGTTTATGTCCTTGTCTGCTTTTGCTATCAGCGTGATGGAAGTGTCATAAAATGAGTATAGGAGTTTCTTTCATTTGGATCCTTCGAAACATCTTAAGGAGAATGAGGATTAATTCTTTAAAGGTTTTGTAGAATTCAAAAGTGAAATCATTTAGACCTGGGCTTTTCCTTGTTGGGAGACTATTACTGATTTAGTCTCATTACTTCTTTTTGGTCTATTGAGGCCTTCTAGTTCTTCTTTGTTTAACCTAAGAATATTGTGTGTGTCCAGAAATTTGCCCATTTCATATAGGCTTTCTAGTTTGCATCATGTCACTTGTAGTATTCTCTTATGTTCTTTTATTGTTCTGTGGTAGCTGTAGTAATTATAGACTGTTTCATTACTGATTTTATTTATCTGTTTCCTTTCTCTATTTTTCTTGGTTAGTCTAGCTAGCGGTCTGTTGATTTTGTTCATCATCTCAAAGAACCAGCTTTTTGTTTAATTTCTTTTTGTATTGTTATTTTACTTTTATCTGCTCTAATCTTTATTTCTTGTTTTCTTCTAGTACTTTTGGGACTGTTTTGTTGTTTCTTTCTCAGTTCCTTGAGATGCATCTTTAAGTTATTTGCCATCTTTCTCTCTCTTTTTTTTTTTTTCTTGTGAGCCCTAATTGCTATGAACTTCTCTCTTAGGTCTGTTTTCATTGTGTCCTGCATATAATGGAACACTGTGTTTTCAATATCATTTGCTTCAAGAAATTAAAAAAAAACAACCTTATTTAGTACTTTTGAAATCACTCAGGAATGAATTGTTTAGTTACCATGTATTTGTGCATTTTTAAAGGTTCTTTTTATTGTTTATTTCAAGTTTAATTTCATCGTGGTTAGAAAATATGCTAGAGTTTTTATACTTTTAAATTTGTCAAGGCTTGTTTAATGCCCTATTATGTGGTCAAACTTTTTTTTTAAACCTCTGTAATTATTAGTTTATTAGTATCATCCAGGACTCAGATGTTCAGTATTCCTCCTGAAATTACATAAACAAATGCAAATGGAAAGAATCCAAGTTAAAATTATATAACAAAACAGCACTCCATCACAAAAGCGTGTAAAATTACAAGAATGCTATTTTAAAACACTGGCATTTTAAGAGAACGATAATCTCAAACCTCAAACTTGCCAAATTGTTCCCTAAACTGTTAAGCAGATAAACATGACTCTAATGAATGAGTTTGGGTTTCATAAAGAAAAATCAAATTCGAATAAATTGGCTAATTCGTACTGAGATGCAAAGTTTGTGTCTTTGTTCTTCATGTCTATCTGATTTATAAAGGGGCAAACCACAATAGAGGAATGTTTCCCCTATTTTAAGTGTGGCATCGTTTTAAAAGCTGGCCCAATTAATTAAAAATACTTTTACTGGAAAGTCAAGTTTCCTGAGCAGTCCATATTCAGATAAATGGGAAAAGACATTTACAGCCAGTGCTCTCATAGCCTTTGCTGGAACCAAGGTCAACAAAACCTTTAATATGGTAGAGTCTTGTATTTTAAGCTCACACTTTTTGGGACACATTCTGAAGTCTTCTTTAACGTGGGAACTGCAAAAATATAACTGCCATTACATGGTAATGGGAGTTAAAGAATATAGAGTCCTCATGTAAAGATTAGAACACACTTTTCTATTAGTCCTTCAAGGACAGCTTTCAAAATGTTTGATTCTAATAATCCCATGCTGTGAGTAGACTGGTTACTCTTCACTTTATAAATGTTAAGTGGGCTA